CCGATTGGCGGGGCGGGGCGGACTATAGAAGGGAAGGCCAGGCGGCGCCCTGATCTCTTCCGCGCCCATTTTAATCCAGCCATACAACGCTCTGCCGCCGCTGCTGCCGCGACCCGGACTGCGCGCCAGCACCCCCCTGCCGACAGCTCCGCCACTATGGAGGATATGAACGAGTACAGCAACATAGAAGAATTCGCAGAGGGATCCAAGATAAACGCGAGCAAGAATCAGCAGGATGACGGGTACCGCACGCTTCTTCCCCCGCTCCCCCTCCCCCAGCGCGCCGCACGCGCCCTTCGTCCCTCGTGAGCCGCGCGCTGCCCCCATTCTTTCTCAGAGTCGATTCCCAGCGTGCCCTCTGGGCCCCACTAGCTTGGAGGGAAGAGGAAAGTAAGAGATCGAGGGGGTGACTGGAGAGACCCGGGAAGAGTGGGGGAAGGGCGGAGGGGTTGGAGGAGGAGGGCGGTGGCGTCTCTGTCCCGAGCGCGCAGGCGCCGCGTGGGACCCGGGGGGGAGGGGCTGGCCTCCCAGCGCCGCTCGCTGCAGCTGCCGCCGCCTCTTCATTGTGTCTCTGTTACCACTCGGCGCGGTTTTCCTGGGAAGAGTTTTAGAGGACTCTGAGTTCGGGCACAAGCAGGCGACTGGTACCCAGATTCACAAAACGTATTATGATTGATGAGTTCTCTGGGTGGAACGTTGGCTTGACAGCGGAGGACGAGGATGGACCTAAGATAAGATGTGAGGGATTCATCTAGGAAGTTGGGCCTTGTAGCTGAAGCAATCTGGGCAGAACCTTTACTATATTTTATTGGTCTCCTTTGAGTTTTGCTTTATGTAGTGCGGAGAGCGAGCTGTCCGCTGGTTTGAGTAACTTTGTTGGGATATTGGGATTTTTGTGTGACATAGATTAAATGTAAACATGGATTAAATTGCTTACACTTAGGGGATAAATGTCCCTGTTTTTATTCTACGATTTAATTCCAGAACTGAAGGATGATTTGAGTTATTGTTAATTTTTTAAAAAACCTTTTATTTCTAGTAAAATGTTTATTGGAGGCTTGAGCTGGGATACAAGCAAAAAAGATCTGACAGAGTATTTGTCTCGATTTGGGGAAGTTGTAGACTGCACAATTAAAACAGATCCAGTCACTGGGAGATCAAGAGGATTTGGATTTGTGCTTTTCAAAGATGCTGCTAGTGTTGATAAGGTTTTGGAACTGAAAGAACACAAACTGGATGGCAAATTGATAGATCCCAAAAGGGCCAAAGCTTTAAAAGGGAAAGAACCCCCCAAAAAGGTTTTTGTGGGTGGATTGAGCCCGGATACTTCTGAAGAACAAATTAAAGAATATTTTGGAGCCTTTGGAGAGGTGTGTGATTATGTTTACACATGTTAAGCTTGATGTGTTTATAAAATGTTTAATCCTGGTCCGATTTATACAGGGCAGATTCATGTTTCGTGTGAGGGTAGGATTAAATGACGGCTCAAGTCGCTTCCAGGGACTGTACCTTGATTTGATTGCTGCTCTGATGGAAACCCAACTATCTTAATTTAGCCAAAACATGGGCACTTAAATGTGGTCGGTGTTTGGACTTGTTAGCTAGTGGCATCTTTGGGGTACAAAATAATATTAAAGGATGTTTTACTTTTCTCTCAGTGCTTCAAATATACAACAAATCACTGAAGGCTGATGTTGATCATAAAGCAGTGATGTCTGTATAGAAGTCACCTGATAAGAATTATAACATGTTTAAGTTGAAGCCTGAAAAGTACCTGTGGCATTCTGACACTCTGGTAGCATTTTACAATTATGGGATGACCTTGAGTGTGCATCTCGATTTCAGATTGAAAATATTGAACTTCCCATGGATACAAAAACAAATGAGAGAAGAGGATTTTGTTTTATCACATACACCGATGAAGAGCCAGTAAAAAAA